GGAGCACAGGCTCCAGACGCGCAGGCTCAGCGGCCATGGCTCACGGGCCCAGCCGCTCTGCGGCATGTGGGATCTTCCCAGACCGGGGCATGAACCTGTGTCCCCTGCATCGGCAGGTGGACTCTCAACCACTGCGCCACCAGGGAAGCCCGCTGCGAGAATCTTAAACGTTTATATAGAGGTCTTCACTGGGTTCAGTCTCGGATTCAGTACAGATGGTCTCTGAAGAACACCTTACTCTCTCAAGGTTGTGTGCTTGCAACAGCTCCTAAGCCTCAGGGTCTACAAGCTGCAGGAAGACGAGACTGCCCGGGGTGGCCTGCAAGCCATTCTTGCCACGAGCCCCGCTGCTGCTGTCGTGGAATCCGGCTTCCCCCACCACTCACCCTGTAGTGAGTTTTCAGTGAAGCTTTCTCTCTGTGCTAGTGAGATTCATGCTACTTGAGTTGCGCAAAGCCACAGAGCGTGTAAATGTTGGGGTGGGGGCACAAACCCAGCAAATCTGGCCCCAAGGTCTGTGTTATGTCACCCAACAAGAGTGGGGAGGCCACGCTCCTAAACACCTCACCCCCACGAGCCAGCTCCTCAAACCCGCAACGCCACAGGTGGTTATCCTTTTTAAATATAGCAGCGTGTATATGTCATTCCCAAGCTCCCTAACTATCCCTTCCCTCCACCCTTCCCCCCGCCCCCGGTAACCATAAGTAAATTTTCTGAGTCTGTTTCTGTTTTGTAAGTACGTTCATTTTCATTTCTTTTTAGATTCCACACATAAGTGATATCAAACAATATTTCTCTTTCTCTGACTTACTTCACTCAGTATGACAATCTCTAGGTCCATCCATGTCACTGCAAATGGCATTATTTCTGTGAAGAAGATTACTCTCCATAATGTGGGTGGGCATCATCCTATTAGTTTGAAGCCCTTAATAAAACGAAGACTGATGTCCCCTGAGAAAGAAGGAATTTTTAATATGTATTTTCTTATATTGGATTCTGGTTCCACCATTTTCTAGGTGTGTAACCCTGGGCAAGATACTTAACCCTTGGCCTCAGTTTCATAACTCACAAATTGGAGATAATAACAGTAACTAATCCAAATGGTTGTTATAGGAATTAAATGAGGTAGTATATGAAAAGCCTGTTGGAATGGGAAATGTTCAATAAGTAACAGCTGTGGTAGTTACTCTGAAAGAGGTTGCACATATGGTTTATTTATAGATAACTAGAAACATTATTGCTATTAGACAATGGGAAACATGCAGGTATTTCCTGGAATGAACAGAACATATCTTAACTTTTTCCATAGAGTTCAGGCCATACTGAGTCAGCCTCTGAAGGAGATTGGGAGTTTTTGTTTCTGGTCTCCCCAGCTTTTCTCTCTCCCAACATTTTCTACCCTCTGACCTCTCCATCTGGGGTCCAACTGCTCCTGGAAGAGAGGCAGCAAATCTGACAGCCCTCTGTAGAAAAGAGGCTTGGGTCTAGTGGACCATCTGGTTAACTTTCAACTTTAACTCAAAATTGTTTATTCATCTGTTCTAGAGATACATTGACACAATTGAAAAAACTCATTTTTTTTTTTTTTTGCTTTTGAACTTACACACTGCTCTTTTCCTTTTAGCATCTTACCTTAAGAAAGTTTAAAGTTATCCAGTATCTCTGCTCTCTTCCCACACATACAAGAACATTAGGATGATTTAACACAGGTTCCACTTCCTCTTTCTTGTTCTTATCCAGAATTTTAAAAACTCATTCATTTTACTGGGCCACTCCTCCTGTAATAAACCAGGCATATTTTTTACAAAATGCATAATTATCTTGTGACTAGCACATAAAATTTTATTTTACGTTTGTGTGTTTTTGACCTCTAGAAACAGCAAGTTCATATTGTTCAACCTAATATTTGAAGAATGTTAATTTCTTGACTATAAATATTTTAAAATATATACAACAAGTTTCTGTTATGGCATTTCTTCACTTTTTAGTATATTGGAATTCTCAGAAAATGACTTGGTGGTGGGGAAGTCTCCTTTACCCTCCAAGAAGCCCTAGTGTGAAGCCTCTACAAAGTAAATCTTTCTTTTACTGATAATACTTATCTTTTATAACACCTTTTCCATGTATTTTTGTGTTAAAAGATCTAAAAATATGACTCCTTAAAAAAAAAAAGAGGTAAGGAGAGGAAGGAAATAAAAAGGATGTGGAGGGACCAACGCCCCATCATATATTATATAAAATGACAATAATCACAAGAAACCTATTTCACAAATTACTGGGAATATTACACGTGATAATATACTGCGAAGAACTTTAAAGAATTAAAAGTACAATCATGAAAGGCAGTCCACTTATGTGTTTGAAGAAACATTTTTGGTCTGTGAATGCTTTATTTCTGGTCCATGGTGACATAAGTATGAAAATTTGAGAGTAAGCATTTAGAAACTGTTACACGAATTTGACAAAGTCATTTTACATCTGTTGAATCAAATAATAAAAGATTTGGGCTTGTATTTTGTATGTCTGAATTTTTACTTCATTTTCTAGTAATTCACTTTCATTTTACTTTACAAAGGCAAAGAAACCCTGTCCTTCACCACACATAGTTTGAGAAGCATCGATAAAAGCTATTATTATTTCTGAAATTTTGCTTAACAACCATTAATTTCTAATTACAAACTAGTTATATGTCATTATTTGAGAAATACTCTCTCAAACCAAGTGTAAGGAGTTGCCAGCATACAAACAAGTTCCAAAACAAGTTTGTTTTGTATTGGGTAACATGGTTATTTGGGAGTCAGACACCATTTTTCCTATGAAATAACATTAGCCGAGGGTTAGGTTCTTGGTGTAGCCTATCAATCCCAGTTATCTCAAAAGATGGGTAAGCTATACAATAAAATGTGATCAACCATATATACTGTAAATTTTTTTTTTCGCGGTACTTGGGCCTCTCACTGTTGTGGCCTCTCCCGTTGCGGAGCAACAGGCTCCGGACGCACAGGCCCAGCGGCCATGGCTCATGGGCCCAGCCACTCTGCGGCACGTGGGATCTTCCCGGACCGGGGCACGAACCCGTGTCCCCTGCATCGGCAGGCAGACTCTCAACCACTGCGCCACCAGGGAAACCGTATACTATAAAATTTAATGACCAGGCTTCTCCACCCTCTTACGATGAAGAAATTAGGCTACTGATTTCCAAATCAGAAAACATCCCTCTTCCCCACCCAGCCATGAGAAAAGGTGATTCTTAGCTCTGGCAGGGTGGTAGGGATAGGGATAAGGATGGAGTTATTTTTGCAGAAGTTGCTTCAAGAGCAACTCAGAAAGAGGAAGAGTAATGGAGCTATAGTACTCTTCACACAGAGAATGGAGGAATTAGGAGATCAAGTTTGAGGGAACTCACTGGTCGAGTTAATAAAATTAAACTGAGGATTCTCTAAGATTCTCTGAGAATGAGGTTTGGCAGGTTTTGCTGGACTTGAAAGCCTGGTTCTTTACCACAAATGCCTCTATCCTAAACCCCAGGGCATTGTGGTGGCCCAGGACGGTGAGTAGGCTTCATCCTGAATTGAAATCTGTTAGCGGCTACCTCAGAGATTTTAATTTTTCTTCTGTCGTTGTTTGAAAAGATGTGAGGGCAAGTCTAGGCTTAGTGAGAAACATTGGTAGAATCAATTAGTGCCACGGGCAAGAAGGGAAAGTAAGCATAAAAGCTGTATTTCGCTACCCTGAGTATACCCTGAAAGAAACAGACCTTTGGCCCTTTAATTCCAGCTGAAACCAGGATGAATTATTAAGCACATGACTTTTTTAAAAGCCTGGGAATAGCAAAAGGGGAACAGCACACAACAAGGTAATCTTATTTACAATTTATGGTTTCCTCGTTTTGTGATACATTTGGAAGACACAGGAGCCTAGCTCTTGACCCAGAGTCCAAGAGGAATAGTTTTATATACTAGTCACTAACCAGAAACCTTGGAACAAGACTCTCAGAACTAATACAGAAGCCCTGGCCACAGTCCCAGGCCTTCTTCTTTAGGTCCTCATTCTAAATTCTGATTTCATATATGAGATTCTTCTCTGTCCCCAAAGATTGACATTAAAAACGTCCCTAGAGAAGAGATCCCACCCACACGTATCCAGTCATAGGGTAACTATGGTGAAATTCTTAACCAAAATGGTCCATGGATAGAATCTGGGGGCTTCATGACCTTGAATGAAGGGAAAAAAATCTTGATTTCTAAAGGAATTTAACATTTCCTTCAATTATGAAAGTAGAAAACAAATCAAATCTCAGAAGCATTAGCAATACTTGTGACTTTGTTACTAATGTAAATAAGAGTTATGTTCATTATTTCATTATAGTGCTGCAGACATCTTGAAAAAACATTTATGCTCATCGCTATTTGAAAGAATGTTGCTAGATCTTGTTATTTAACGTGTTAATAATGTAGCACACATTACACTATTATATTACTATAGCACAAACTTTTAAAAGACTACTTTGATAATTGCATTTGAATGTAATTGGTCTCCTTTGCAATCTGCACCTTTTTAAAATAATTTTTTAAATTATTTATTTATTTATTTTTGGCTGCATTGGGTCTTCGTTGCTGCATGTGGGCTCTTTCTAGTTGCGGCAAGGGGGGGTTACTCTGTTGTGGTGCGTGGGCTTCTCATTGCAGTGGCTTCTCTTGCTGCAGAACGCGGACTCTAGGGCGCGTGGGCTTCAGTAGCTGCGGCTCGCGGGCTCTAGAGTGCAGGCTCAGTAATTGCGGCACAGGGGCTTAGTTGCTCCGCGGCATGTGGGATCTTCCTGGACTAGGGCTCAAACCCGTGTCCCCTGCACTGGCAGGCGGATTCTTAACCACTAGGGAAGCCCCACACCTTTTATTGTATGCATTTATGTTATTCTGCGAAGGCATCTATAATTTCACTACTGCCAGAGGGGTTCATGACATAAAAAAAGGTAAGCCTCCAGGACTTTCAAAGTACAACTATGTTGCTATCTACCATGCAATATAACCTAATATCCTTTAGGACTGAATCAGAGACATACAGAAACTGAGGGGTCTCTTTTTTTTCTTGGTGCAGAACAGGTGAGAAATTGGCATTTGCTTTTATTTACTGGTTGTTAATAAAACCGATGTTTGTTGAAAATTGGCAATTGTGATCATTTCTGCCTACATACTACAGGGTGGCAATTAAGTACTGGCAACCATGAGAAGCTTGTTTCAGCCATACTCATATTATAACTGTCTCAATCTTAATGGGGAAGGTTCTCTTTTATACTTTTTTCTTTCTTTATTCACGTTATGATTGTTAAGTTTTAAAATGGGGTTTGCTTTTGATGGGTTTTTTTTTTTCTTGTCTTATTCCCATAAACTGAGTTTGGAGCAAAAATAGTGTCCAGGTGAACTTCCCTGGTGCTCCCAATGCAGGGGGCACGGGTTCAATCCCCGGTCGGGATTCCGCGTGCCGCAGGGCACTGACAAAAAAATAATAATAAAATAAAATAAATAAAATAGTGTCCAGGTTTTGAGGTCTCTAGTCTAGATGAAGCATTACGTAATAGAATGTTTCCTTCCTCCCATCTACATCCTGTTATAAAAAGTAGTGATTCCAACATGACGTATTTACAAGACATGGCCCAGTATCTTTTCCTGTAATTAAAATATATATATTTAAAACTGTCCTCCAGAAGTTTCTTACCGGACTAGGACGGAAGGAATGTCTTCGAAGATTAATCGAGAACTGAGAAAGGCCTGCAGCCTGCTTGAGATTCCCGTGGGGTTGTCTGTTAGTGAAGGGAGGTGAAGGAATTCAAAGTGTCACGCCCTTGGCCTAACCAGGGGCGGGATAGGACGGTTCCCACTGCCGGGAAGGTGTCTCAAGAGGCAGGTTTGCGGTGACAAAGGCCAAGGGCCGCGCCGAGGGCGGAGCCGCCGCGGCCTGTGAGCAGGAACCGGGCCCGCCGACCTCGGGGCGGAGCGCGGCCCGCGCGCAAGAGCCGGACCGCGGGCACCGCCCACAGTGCTCCCGGGCCCGACCGAGCTAGGCGGCGCGGCTTCCGCGCCATGGGACGGTTGCTGACTCTGAGCTTGCTGGGGATAGCGCTGGCGCTCCTGGGCGAGAGGCTCCTGGCGCTCAGGTAGGTGGGGGCCTCTCGGGTCCCCAGGCTCAGGGTGGCAGGGGCTGCGCGCGAGCGGGGACCCCGGAGCCAGCGGCCACGTAGGACCTCTGCATCGCTCTGCTCCTCGGCCGGCGGAGCTACTCCACCCCAACCCCCAGCCGCCACCAAAACCCGGCACAGTTTGGGCTGAATCGCGAGACTTCATAGCGAGTTTGTAAGCTTTTGCTGCGCACCCAGGTCTTTCTTACCTAAGTTGACAAGCGAGTACTTTGCGATTTACCCAGGGGCGAACCTAGTGCTTTAACTTGAAAACAAAACTATTACTCATTCACTGAAACTTTAATTATAAAGATTTATTTCAGGTCATTGGTGCTGCTTCTCTTTGTTGCCCGAACCAGCCTCCGTCTTTAATAAAGTTGTTTTCCGTCTCTTCCCTGCAGAGTTTGAGAAACTCTTCCTCTGCTCTCTAATCTTGGCACGGTTGATCAAAGATACTTGAGATATTCAGCTATTGTTCTTACATCACTTCCTTATTTATCTCTTCGTCTGGGAACACCGAAGCCAGAATGCCAAACAGGACACGCCTAGTCTATCTCATGTTTTAGTTATAAGGAAAAAACGTGGGTGATCAGACGTCATAGTCTCTAAATTATCAACTCAAATTATGTTAAGCCTCACGTGAAAGAATTCCAGAATGTTGAGCACCTTCTCTGTACGCTGTGCACTCTTAGCCTCCTGTAATAGAGTAAGGCACCGTCCTTACCTTTAAAGAGTTTACCCTATTAAAGGGAAAGAGAGAAATAAATCAAATAGATAAATTAGGATGTTCAGGACAGGTACAAACCAACCCCTGTTGGCTTAAGGAGGAGAAGTTACAACGCCTGAAGGTGGAGTTCAGGAGGAAGAGACATCTGACACTAGCCTTGAGGGATGGGTGAAACACAAGTGGGGATGAAGGAGGCAGTCCCAGATGGAGAGTGCCGCGTGAAGAAAGGGAATGGCGGGGGAAGTTTAGATTTGAGCGGAGCATAAAGTTAAGGGATGAGAACAGTAGGAGTAGGGTTTTGAGATGGTTAAACCTACGTTGAAAAATTGGGGCCTGCATAGATAGGCCAAGGGGAACTAGCAATGTTTGTTGTATGTGTTTTATTTTTTTAAACAGGAACCTGTTTAAACCATCTAAAGCATAACCAGTTGGGCTGTGTAGAGATGACCTGGGAGGCTGGATTGGAGTAGAGCAGTGGTTCTCAGTCCTGGCTGAGCCTTAGGGATCTACTGGAGACCTGCTGTCTGGGCTGCACCCCCAGCAGTTCCAATTCTGTTGCTCTGGGTGGGGCCCAGGCATGAGTATTTTTTATTTTAAAAAATTCTCCTGATAATTCTAACATGCAGTTAGAGTTGACAAGTACCAGAATAGAGAGCAAATAGACGTGGGGAAACTAGTTAAAGTCTTGCAGTAGTTTGGCCCAAACTCTGGAACCCCAGGGATGAGGGGTAAGGCCAAGGTGATACTACAGTTTCCAGCTCTGCTGTCTTAGCTGCAGCTTCATCTGCTCATAAAGGGATGCCAGGAGGAGGAACAGTGTCTATGCAACAGGAAGCATCAGAGTTGGAGGAGGAACATTTACTGGTAAGAAATGGACATGTTGAGCTTAATTTTCACATTATATAAATGACCATCCTGCTCTGCAGAACGTTATTGAGTTGGGTGATTTTGTATGATCTGTCCAGCTCTTGGTTTCAAAGGCAGGACCACTAAAGTTCTCAAGCTCATTAAATTATCCCTAAACTTCAAACTACCAGTGTTTCCATAAGTTGAAGTTTTCTCAATTAGTCAACTTTTTCTTCTTACTAACCTTAAGGTTTTAAATTTAAATCCCTTTAAATGATAAATGTAGATGCAAACCTAAGAAAAAGTAAATAAAGCTTATTTAATTTACATAGAACGCACCTGCTAGATGATTTAAATTTGAATGTATCTTTTCTTTATAAAGACTTGACTATAATAAACTTTATTGAGCAGTGACTTCATAGGGTGGTAACCTCATTGGACAGTTGAGGCCTTATAGTGGCTGATGTGAGAATGTTGGGGTGAATGATGGGTGGCTAGATCTAGCAAATAAAAATGTAGGACACCCAGTTAAATTTGTATGTCAGATAAACAACAAATCATTTTTTAGTATATGCCTATCCCATGCAATATTTGGGATGTAATTAGACTAAAATACTATTCGTTATTTATCTGAAATTCAAATTTAACTGGGCATCTTGCATTTTATCTGGCAACCCTATGAGCGCAGAGCATCAAGTGCCTGCTACTTACAAAGTTCGGTGGAGTGCTTAAATGCATAACATTTCTCCTTTCAGACCCTTAGAGTATTTTGAAAAGCAGCATGTTCCCACCTCCACATAAAGAAAGGCTCTTCAAAAACAGGTTTTTGGTTTGTTTTTTTCTCTCATCTGCTGCCTTCTATTTCATTATTCTATTTTTAGAGATGGCACTTTGGCACTCAGGTTATTTCTCTCCCCCAGGGTGCCCACTTAAATTTCAACTTGGATTTCAGGTAAACAGTGAATGATTTTTAGTATAAGTATGTCCTGCATGGATAAATGGAATCAAGGTTGTCTCCTTCCATCTGAACTATAACTGGCTAAGGTTCCCAGGGGAGGATGGCATGTCATACCCAACTTTTCCACTCCTCCCTCATGGAGCAGTAAAGGAAAAAGTAGAAATACAAACATGTCCCCAGGCCAGTGCTCCCTGTTGCAAAGCACACACCCTTGAATGAATCATGAGACTTGAGTATATCAGAGACCTATGCCTGAGCAGGAACTCCAGATACAAGCGTCTGAACTTTTTGCTTGTTGCTTGACACCTTTTATGACAGCTCCACCAAGAAGCTAGCTATCCAGTCAGCTTTTGAACACTTCTGAAGGGGCAGACTTGTTTCCAGCCACCATCCTCCTTATTTATTGTATGACTACTGTGTGCTGGTCTTTGTGTTGAAAGTGTCAGCAGTTCATTATATTAAACTAAAACTTACATTTACTGACATTTGGAAAGAAAGCCCTTTTACCTTCCTGCCTTCTTCCAGTTTTCATATATGTCTTCCTTCCTATATTATACATAATATTAACTGAGGCTTGGAGAGGCTGCCTAGTTAGTTCAGAAGTTAGTGCCAAACCTGTGCTCTAAGCCAGGTCTTCTGATTCCAAATACAGTTTGTCCCAGCTCCACCATGGCCTCCTCTCTTCTCTGCCATTGGAGCAAACTTTCCCCAGCTTTACAAGCCTAAGCACACATTCTTAATTAAGTAAGAGCGTTACAGGGGACCAAGGGGTGAATTTCAAGGGGTTTTACAAGTCTGTTTGTGAAAGATAAAGCCCCAGTTTGTCTGAATTTAAGTCTGTACGTAAAAGATAAAGCCCCATCAGTGGTTTGTAGGTTCAAAGGCAGTGAGATATGGAACAGACCTGGTAGTAACACTGTGTTCCCAGTTTGCTCAAAGTATATTGGCACACCAGACTGGTGCATCCTTACTGCTACCACACGATGAGGCAAGATAATCAGTAACCGCCCGTGACCCATTCCACTTTGGATGGGTAATGCCTTTTCCTGAGTGAAGGAAATAGAGATTCATTTCATGGTAATGACTGTTGGTTAAGGGTTCATGCTTTGTAGCCAGGTCGCCTGAATTCTCCACTATTTACATGAGACCTTGGCTTTTATTTCACCTTTCTGTGCCTCAGTGTCCTAATCTGTAGGATGGGTATAATAGTACTATATGCTCCATATAGGAGCTGTAAAAAATAAATGAGTTCATTCTTGTAAAGTGCTAGAACAATGTCAGACATGTAGTAAGTGCTCAATAAAGTTACCTATGATGACAATGACGTTGGAGCAGGGGTTCTTAGACTTTTTTGTGCCATAGATCCCTTTGGTAGTCTGGTGAAGCCTTGACTCCTTCTCAGCAAGCATCATGTTTCTAAATGCATAAAATAAAATTCATAGGATTACAAACCAAACTGAAATACTATCTAAGTTAATACTAATTTAAATACGTAAATTCTATTGCCAAACTATTTAAAAGATCTAATGTACTAATGTAATAACATGGCCTTCTTTATTAAAGCCTTAAGTAGATCTAGAAGTAGTTGAATACCTAACAGTAGATACTGTGAAGCAGAGATGAGTATAAATGGTATTTTGAGATCTCTACAACAACTAAAATGTGATGAAACAATGTAATTTCTGTTAGTGACAGAGTCACAGGTACTGCTAGTAGAAAGCTCAGTGGTTTGTTGCCTACACTCATCATCAAAAGAAATACTCAGTTTCAGTCAGAGGTTTAACTAAAGATGTGTTTTTTCCCCCCCATCAGAATTCAGAAACCCCTGAATTTTACCCATGGACTCTTTGAGGGTCACTGGACCCCAGATTAAGAATCATGATGTACCTGTTTCTGATGGGGGTCATTGGAGGAATGATTACTGGCTCAGTTGAAGGAAGGCAGTATGCATTCTTTCCTGTATTATACCTATCATATACTCGTAACTAAAAGGAAAATAACCAAGTTCTAATGAAAAGGAAAAGGAAAGTGAGAAAAACAAAAGGAACCTAGAACAAAGAAAGCAAATAGCTTTCATCTAGAGTGTCCATTTTAATAGACTAGTAGTGGTGGCCTGGAACATTGTGTCTAAGCTGGAGCTGAGTTAAAGAGAAAGAGTGCTGTAATTGATTAGCAATGTCTGCATGACAACAGAGTGGCAACTGCC